ACAAACCCCCCCCCCCCCCCAGCCACCCCATAGAATGAGAACTAACCCAGACTCTTCAGTCCTGGAGTTTGCAGAAACTTAATCAAAAGCGATTTATGCTACGTGAATGAGAACATGTAGAAAATTTAAAGTCGGTATTATCTGAATATGGCTGCAAAAGTGGAAATACACTTTAAAGGATATACAGTAGTTGTATTAAACCCTTTTCACCCTAGAAGAGAATGAAATACAGAAAATAATTTTCTTTATATGTTCTTATACATTTTATTTTCAATATAAACTTTAAATACTATAGACATTTCAAATGCCAGCCCCTGTGTTGCCCTGTCTCCAACGGACATGCCTTTTTTTTTTGCTAGGGTATTGTAAAATCGGACACCTTTTCTTTAGCTCTGTTGAAACAAAGTCTAGCCATTTTATTTTATTTTTTAATTTGTATTTTTACTTTAACCAAGCGTCTCAATACAAAAAAAGACTTAAATCAAGACTTTAACCTCCCTGGCGGTATTCCCGAGTGTAGCTCAGGGTTACTTTTCCATACCATAAGCGGTAACCCCGTGCTACACTCGGGAATGCCGTATAACATTTACTTACCTTGTCCCTCAAGCCGCGCTGTGTTCTCCGGCCGATGCTGGCATCTGCAGGGGGGCGGAACTGGTGGAATATTTTAAAGAAAAAAAATTCGAAAAAAATATAGAACGAAAAATTACACGAAAAAATCATACCGCCAGGGAGGATAAAACACTACTTGAGCTAGTTTCTACATGGCAGCTGTCTGGATCAGTGTATCCTAAGCAAAAGCTTTGGAGGCCATACCTGGATCCCGCTGGACTAGTAGATTTTTGTGGCTAGCCTGAAATGGGGCCTACAGGCACTGGGCTCTTTTTCTGACCTCTGTGTACTGTGTTAACCACAGAGCCTTCTCTAGGTCCAGAGCCATGTCACAGCATCTTGCATGATCCAGTCTCTGAGGACTCGCGTAATGAGTAAGGCCGGTTGGGCTGAAGCACTAAGTGCTATCTTTACAGTTGGGAACAAACGGCGCCAATTAAAATGTCCTGCCACCACCATCTTAACAGTGGTAATGGGTACAATGAGGTAATGTCAACTACTTCTGAAGTACTTTGTGATCTTCAGTCTAGTTCCACTGCCTGCCTACAGTGACTTGGTCACCTCCAGCAGCCTACGACCTTCATCAGCATTAGGTTGAACGTGCAAGATCTTTCCTCACTTTGGGCCTGATTTTTTTAACTGTACATCATTTAAAAGAAATGTTGCATCATGTAGCAGAGGACAGTTCCACTGCAACAGATGACCTCAACCCATTACCTATGTTCTATTGTAGGTAGGGGCAATGTTTCAGTATTTTCAGAAGGCACTGATGCCTTGTACTTAGATCCTGGGAACCCCTATTACTATGGGATTACTCATCAGAGTCTATATAGCATCGCAGAGTGATACTTAGACCTCCCATATGTTCAATAGGCACCTAATATTCACTTTGAATGTTTAATCATTGCTCAATTAATAGAACAGTCTGCGTGCGGGGGCTCTCAGCGCGTTCTGAAATCATTCACAATAGAATTGAATTCTGAACTTACTGGTCCTCCACAGTCCTCTAACTGTGCCTGAGGCCCCTGTTACCGTGTTTCCCCAAAAATAGACACTGTCTTATATTTTTTTTGGCTCAAAAAAAACACACTAGGTCTTATTTTCGGGGTAGGTCTTATTTTTTTTTTTTTGTGTACAACAATCCAAAATTAATGCAAATCCAAATTAAATAATCCAAAATGGCAAAGTTAAGAATAGGGTGATCAGGGCAATCAGGGGTGCCGTACCTTTCCAAGAGCAATTTGGTGACCAATCGCTGGCTAGAATGAGCGAAGCACACTTTCACTATCGATTCCTTACAGGGGGAGTGCATTTGGTATCACCCCGCCTGTGACAGGATCCGGCACTATAAAGGAACCATCGGCTTTTGCGGCTCTGTTCCCTCCGGTGCCGTCTCGCTTCCTCTAGCGCTGGCTTTGTTGGCACCGCCGATTCTCTCCCGCGGCTATTCAAGTTTCCCCTTATGCCATCACCAGCCCTGGGAAAGGTCACAACTAAGTCTTATTTTTGGGGTAGGTCTTATATTTTAGCAATTCCCAAAAATAGTACTAGGTCTTATTATCGGGGTAGGTCTTATTTTCGGGGAAACAGGGTACCATCTCTGATTCAGATTCCGAGTCCTCAGTCTTTCCCTGAAAATTCTTTTTCAGCAAGTTCCATTTGCAAGGAATTCTTGATTAATCTGATGCAATGTGTTTCCTTTGAAAGGGAATTTATTGATATGTGGCTTCTGCCCACTGTAGACACTCCAATCATCCACCTTGACCAGCATAACACCAAACAGGTTGATTCTTACATTTAGGGATTTCACTGAAAGTTAAACTGCTTAGGTCCCAGCTTGAGTCATCGAGAATGACACTCCATTCTGTAAAAGGAGACCCCTGTATCTCAAAGACATCCCTCATATCCTGGAACATTTGGAACAAATGTCTGGAGCCCTGTTATTCAGCTGTGATTCTTTTACAAGCATTTAAGCTTTTGTCTTAAATGGGAGTAAAGTTTGTCCATATGTATATCGAGCTTTGGCTTTGTGCATGCTGAGGATACAGTTGAGGAACATTTGATTTATTTTCCCCTTAAGAGTAGGTGTCTCTTTGTAAACTGAAAACACGAAGCGCACAGCTCACCCCTATCATGCGTCCCCGCAATCCACATTCGATGCACGGATGACTCTCTTCTGGAGTAATAGGCTCGCAAACTGTGGAACCAGCACATGATCTTCCAAAGAAATTCAAACTTTATTCCACATGCATCTATACAAAGCACAACCTCTGACGCATTTCTGCGTTACTCGGCCTTTGTCATAGCTATGACAAAGGCCGAGTAAGGCTGAAACGCGTCAGAGGTTGTGCTTTGTATAGATGCATGTGGAATAAAGTTTGAATTTCTTTGGAAGATCGTGTGCTGGTTCCACAGTTTTATGTGTCTCTTTTTGGTTCTGCCCTTGACAAAGTCCTTCCCAATGATTTTGGTTCTCAAACACAGGTGATCTTGGGATTAGGCAAAGGAACCCCATTCATCTAATAGTACAGTAGTACCTTGTAGAAGATCAAAGTCTACCTCCGACTAGATCCACTGATCTCGAGGCCAGATGTCCTCTCTTTCATCTGCTCAACCCTCTTCTTGAAGGTACTCCCCTTTTTTTTTTTCTAAGTGGGGGTCTTGCAGTTTGGATGCTCAGTTTTCCCCTTGTAGATTCCACATTAGACTCTTGAAATCAGACCTCTTTTTGTAACTTGTCATTTGGGGTATTACTGTGCTCCATTGTCCATTTTCCCAGGTTTGTTTCGGTTCCCAGCTTTATCTGATTCCTCTTTTGGTAGCACCCTACTCTTGTTAATGATATCCCAATTGATATCGTAGTCCTGCATTTGGTATGACAGAATACTAGATTTGGGACACTGCACAAGAATCGGCTTTTCCCCTGTGCAAGGCTGATGCAGGAAACCATTCCATGCTTTACTCCTCTTCGCATTAGTGTCCTTTCTATCATAGATGGTTACTTTACGTGCGGTACTTAACTCTCTTCTACCCTAGCCCTCTCCTGAGAGATCTCATGGCCCACAAGACTGACAATTACCAGGTACTACTGCTCCTTTACTTTGTAAGGACCTGACTCTTAAGTATCCTCCAATTGTTTCAGATTCTAGCCACACAACAGACCCTTATGTCCCCCCTAGTGCCATTTTTCCTGACATACCCATTGTGGAACTACCAGGAGACCCTCACTGAAGAGAGCAAGTGTATATTTTCACTTTGTACTACACCTTGGGTCCTTAATGTACACTTATTATTGTACCTGTGTCCCTTACCTCTTAGGAGCATAAAGGATTGTTGGGGCATTCCATTTCACATGGCCTCTCTTCTCATGCTGTCTCTAAATAATTTTTCAAGTTCTCCCTCTGAGTTACACAATCTGTATCTTAGTAGGACTTCTTGGTCTGAAGGACCAACTTGGTGCCTGTCCAACTATTTACTGGCTTCTGCCAGGGTGGGAATTTTCTCTTTCCTCCATCCTCGGAGTTTCACCCTTTTTATACATGTATCTTCTTGTCTACTTCTTGAGGCTGGATCTATGGAACAGA